AAGTTGTATAGTATGTAAGGACGTTTTGATCAAAGGTGCCAAATTCTGGCCAGTGGCTGTGGATGTCTGATTTATATTGAGACCAAATTTGCAGACAGAAGCGCTTCATTGGCAGGATTTGAATTTCTGTTCTGTCCCTTCTGGCTGCAGGTCCTCGAGGAAGCCACTTTATCACTCCTAAATGTTGTAGTGAGGAGTCTCACAAGGTGCCCCCAAAGGGCCGCTGTAGGCCGTACAGGAATTTCTGTGTGCAGTGCTTGGCTCAGGTCCAGGCCATCCTAAGGGCTGTACTGTTGTTTGCTGTGGATGTTTTGCCTGAATGGACAAGTGAGGCAGAAGGAGGTAGCAGGGCCTCTGGGAACAGCAAGCCTGGTGTTGGGGAGAGGAAGAGGAGGGGTCTCTATTGACGGGTGGGAGCACTTGTCAGGGAAGTAGTCAGGCTGGGTAGGAACACAGGGCCATACAGGGGTGGCCTTGGGAGCTGGGCTGAAGGGGTTCACCCAGCATGCTGGGAGCCCTAGCAGGGGTCAGATGGCAGTGAGGGCAGTAGGATGCTGGTCAGGTGTGTGTGAGTGGGGAGCAGGGCTTCACTTGTGAGCCTTGGCTCAGAATCTTCCCCCTTCAGACCTCAGACTCTTTCCCATCTCACCAGGACAGTCACTCCCCAGCCTCCACTGCAGTCCCTGCCTCCAGCCCACAGCAGGAGATTTGGGGGCCACCACCTAATAACTTGTGGGTTCTATGTCACCAGGCTCAGTTCCTGTAGAGAGCAAGCCCCCAGGGGAGCTGGAGCTGCGTCTCAAGCATGGACACTCAGGGCTGCTGCCCCCTCGTCTCTCACTGTTGTCCTGTGGGCCATTTGGCATCTGTTGCCTCAGTATGGAGACATGGGAATGATCTGAATGTGCAGGGTTTGTGGAGAGAATGATTGGCAGAACAGACCCCAGTGTTTGGCCTTTGTCTACCTGCTGCATTACTGAGGGAAAGACAGGTGTCGATGTTAAACAAAGTACAGGTGCACCTGGAGGAGCTAGGCCATAGAGGGAGCTGGCTGAGGAGACAGGGCTGGGCTTGTAGAAGGGGCAGGGGGTGAATGCTGGGCAATGCCCGGCTTCCTCCAGTAGGGTTCTCCCTGAAGGGCTGACAAGAACATTGCTGCGCTTCCCCTGCTCTCTGTGATTTTTCCATTTCCTTTTGTTGTGCTGAGAACACTGCACGGGAGATCTGCCCTCTGAGGCTTCTCTGCATCTCTAGAATTCTAATTCATTTAAAAAAAAGATTTTTTTTTTTTTTTGAAAGTAACAGTTGGCTGGCACCACGGCTCAATGGGCTAATCCTCCACCTGCGGCGCCGGCACACCGGGTTCTAGTCCCGGTCAGGGCGCCAGATTCTGTCCCGGTTGCTCCTCTTCCTGTCCAGCTCTCTGCTGCGGCCTGGGAGTGCAGTGGAGGATGGCCCAAGTGCTTGGGCCCTGCACTCACATGGGAGACCAGGAGAAGCACCTGGCTCCTGGCTTCAGATCAGCACGGTGCACCGACTGCAGTGCACTGGCCGTAGTGGCCATTGGAGGGTGAACCAATGGTAAAGGAAGACCTTTCTCACTGTCTCTCTCTCTCACTGTCCACTCTGCCTGTGGAAAAAAAAAAGTCACAGTTACAGAAAGAGGGAGAGACAGAGATATCTATCATCTGTTTGTTCATTCCCCAGATGGTCGCAATGGCCTCCCTAGACCAGGCTGAAGCCAGGAGGTTCTGCCCAGTCCCCTGTGGGTTGCAGGGACCCAGGTACTTGAGCCATCTTCCTCTGCTTTTCCCAGACCATTTGCAGGGAGCTGGATTGGAATTGGAGAAGCAAGGACAGGAACTGGTGCCCACATGGGATGTGAGGGTTTACAGGTTGTGGCTTTATCCTCTACATCACAATACTGGTACCATCTCTAGAACGTCTTCATCTCCCTGCTTTTGTTGGACCCTGGAGGAAGTCTTTGTTGTCCAAGCGACTGCCTCAGTCACCTGAGGTACTTCTCTTGGTTGAGTTTCCCCAGTGTGCTTTCCGTGGCTATTCTGCCAGCACGGGAGGCTGGATTGACTTTGGGAATCTCTGGGAAGATTATCCAGGGTGATCTCATACCTGTGAAGGAGTGAAGTGAACAAAGGGTTAAGTCAGTCAGGCATGGAGTGAATCCTCATTTGTCTCATGGACATCTTTAGAATGTTTTTTGGAAAAAAAAAAAAACAACTGATGCTCAGCAGTATTCTTTAACTGCTTTTATATAATATAAAAATGAAGTGAGTCTTCATCTCTGTAATTGGAAAACCATTTTTAAAGGGAACATGTATTTTTATATAAATAGAATTGGAGCTGCCCAAGTTAAGGTTTGTGTATTAGTGTACAATTTATTTTTAGAATATATCTGTTAAAACTTATGTGGTTGCCGGCACCGCGGCTCCATAGGCTAATCCTCCACCTGTGGTGCTGGCACACCAGGTTCTAGTCCTGGTCAGGGCACCGGATTCTGTCCCGGTTGCCCCTCTTCCAGGCCAGCTCTCTGCTGTGGCCAGGGAGTGCAGTGGAGGATGGCCCAAGTACTTGGGCCCTGCACCCACATGGGAGACCAGGAGAAGCACCTGGCTCCTGGCTTCGGATCAGTGTAGTGTGCCAGCCGCAGCGGCCATTGGAGGATGAACCAATGGCAAAGGAAGACCTTTCTCTCTGTCTCTCTCTCTCTCACTGTCCACTCTGCCTGTCAAAAAAATTAAAAAAGAAAAAAACATTTATGTGGTTAACATTATCCATAGAAGGGGCCGGCATTGTGGCACAGAGGGTTAAAGCCCCGGCCTGCAGCGCCTGCATCCCATATGAGTGCTCCACTTCCAATCCAGCTCCCTGGTAATGTGCCTGGGACAAGTAGCAGAGGATGGCACAAGTCCTTGAGAACCTGCACCCATGTGGGAAACCTGGAAGAATCTCAGCTTCTGATTGGCTCAACTCTGGCTGTTGTGGGCATTTAGGGAGTTAACCAGTAGGAAGACACTCTCTCTCTCTGTCTCTGTCTCTGTCTCTCTCTTTTGGCTTCTGCCTCTCTAACTCTTTCAAAAAAAAAAAAAAAAAAACAATAAATCTTTTTTAAAAAATTACCCACTGGAAAAAGAAAAGTGGAAGCTCATTTCACCAGTGCAGCTAATACTTTTGCATTCTTGGTCAGCATACGAAGTAAATTGGACGCTGTCAAGGTACAGAGGGTTAAGCCTCCCCTTGGGGCACCCTCCTTTCTTTTTTTTTGACAGGCAGAGTGGACAGTGAGAGAGAGAGAGACAGAGAGAAAGGTCTTCTTTGCCGTTGGTTCACCCTCCAGTGGCCGCTGCGGCTGGCGCACCGCGCTGATCCGAAGCCAGGAGCCAGGTGCCTCTCCTGGTCTCCCATGTGGGTGCAGGGCCCAAGTACTTGGGCCATCCTCCACTGCACTCCCGGGCCAC